TTAACTACGAATTCAAACCTTTTCGTTACAATATTTTAGCAAATTTTATCACATTTCTGCAATTTTTACAATCTGTCAATTATTATTTAATTTCAGTATTAATTTTAATTATCCTTTATAAATTAATTATCCTGTATTTCCGTTTTTGATAACTTTCATTGATAAATCTAAAAATATTGTATATTTCATTCCGATTTCATTATTTTTCAGATTTTTCATAATTTAATTTTCCTCAAAAGTATTTCAGCATATTTCAGTGTACAATAAATTATAGAAATATTATGTCTTGCATTATTTTTCATTTTCTTTCATGCATTTTCAATAATTTTAAGATATTTTCATTAATTGTCTTGAAAATTCATAGTACTTCAGCATATTTAAGTGTACAATATACCGTGGAAATATTATATGTCTTGCATTATTTTTCACCCTTATTCAATATCCTCAGGATTTATAATATAATCGGTATAATTCAATTTCTTTGAATCTATAAATTTTCTTGACAATTCTTCCAAATTCAACGCTTTTTATTACAATGTTAACTGATTTCACCATATTTCAGCAAATTTCATTGTCCTTCAACTACTAATTCCAACATTTTAATTATTCTTTTTCCGTTTCCAGTAACTTTTATTGACAAATCTATAAAAATATTGTGTATTTCGTTCCCATTTCATTACTTTTCAGATATTTTCATTAATTTTCCCCAAAATTCATAATATTTTTCACCATATTTCAGTGTATAATAAATAGTAAAACTATTACATGTCTTGCATTATTTTTTTTTTTTTTTTTCATGCATTTTCAGTAATTATCTTCAGGATTCATTTTAATATACATTCAATATTATATAAGTGTTCAATATCTCCGTATAAATTAGTATTAATATTAAATATTTTTCATTAATTTTCGATATTTTTCATTAATCTTCATCAATTTTCATTAATTATCGTTCAAATTCATAGTGTTCAATATTAAAAGTATTATTCATGATGAAAGAATTTCAACAATATTCCAATCATTTTCATTTCTTATTTCAACAATTTCATTGTCGAATTCAATAATTTCAGCGATTTTTTCCATCAAGGTATAAACATCACATGTATAAATTTAATACCATGAATTTTATAAAATTGATATGATATTCCACACACATTGATATGAAATCCATACCCATTGTTACACAACACAGTGAGAATTATATAAATTATATAAACACTGTATTCACACACACATACTTTTTAGAATAAAAGCGAAAAGTGACGGAAGTCGCGGTAAATACTGATAATGAGATTAAAAGAAATGAGGCCCCTACCATGAGAATGAGGATGCTGCGGAGGCGATGGTGTGGTGTAGTGGCTTGACGTTGTCGAAGTGGGATGAACATTTTGATTGAGGCAACTCTCGCCGGCGGCGGAACTCCGGCGCGCTGATTTCGTCGGTGGCGTGGTCACTAGGTTTTAAACGCCACCGGTAAGTACCACGAGTACGGGAGGTACATTACATAAATTGGGTGCTATTATCGCATACACATATGCAATCGCGCTGCGAGATACTCTCTACTATGACGTATGTCACGATTAAAAATTAATACAAATGAAACGACATACGTTTTCTTCAGGATTCTGGCGAGTGGTGTAGCCACTCGACACAATACGACAAGTCAGGGATGACTTTAGATGCAACGAGCTCAAGCCAATCTACTTCAGAATATTCCGAATGTACAGAGTACTTACTTTGTTTCGCAAAGTAATCGTGACTGGTAAGTGGCTGCAGATGAATCTTGTGTTGACGTAGATCCGGTATACTGCGCTTGAGATGGGTTAGCATGCCTGAACAACCAGGTTTCAAGGTGTTATCGAACTTAGGACTCAAACAAAAAGCAATACGCTTAAAAGAGGAGAGAGATAAAAGAGAGCTGGATGGAAGGAAAGAGAAAGGAAATCATCATAATAAATGTTAAATAGATCGAAGTAATTGATACATAACGAACTACATCGAGCTGGAGGCAAAATACATTTTAAGAAGCCTACAAGAAACAATGCTTTTGAAATTATTACAAATTGTAAGCGGATCTTAAATACATAGTTGATTCTGAGATCCCAGTTTATGTTGCGCATTTAGCGCTAAATACGTAGTCTTGGCTAAAAATATAAAGAATTTTCACAAATTGACGTAAATGTTCTATATTTAATGAAAAATAAATTAAAAATAATTTTATTGTAAAATATTTATTTTTATAAGTTTAACATTTCGTAATTTGTTTTTATTTTATTGTTGCCTTTTCTAAGAAAATGCAATAAACTGAGTGCTCTATACTTATGATCAAAACTATATAAACTTTCATTAAAATTTTCTTGTGAAATAAATAAAACTTAGATCAGATGAATTTAGTGTTACTGTTTATATTTACGGATATATTTAGCGCTAAATGTGAGACGTTAATGGGGGCACAAATGTTTGTGATCAATCTTTACAAGGAATCTTGCTGTTAATTAATGAACAAAGATCAAAAACATCCGAAGTGAAAAATCTTGAATCGATTATATTAAAAGAAAATACCCTGCTATATAGAGAATCTATATATCATATAGGAGAGAGTAGTCTAAATCGAACCGTATTCTAAATAAGAACAGTTAAGCAGATTTGTTATTTATAATGTAAAATCCTTATAAGACATCGAAAATATTACAGTTCAGTTTGACAGTTCTCCGTTATAACATTCATAGAATAGACGCAAATATGTATTTTCAACCATCATGCGAAAATTAAAAAAAAAAAAAATTTTTTTTAAATCCTTATAAATCATTATTTAAAAGGAAGAGTGTCGATAACGCCGTTTTTTGGACCACGTCAGCATCACTTCAAATTGTGCTATTTTTCTCTCGATGTAACTTACAACCTCCTAGAATCGTTTATTATTCAAGCAAGATGAGAATGACACTCTTACATTCGCAGATTTACATGGAATATCAGTTACAGTGTCTGTTTTTATCCTATTATCAATGAACCCCATCATCATACTTTCTCAAAAATTATTCGTATATATAGTGCATAAAATATGTCAAAGCGATTATTTTATCCCTTTGCTATCACTTTGAAATCGAGCTTTGTATTAATCAGTACATTTTATTTTGATCAAGTAAGATCAATAATATTGCTTATAAAAAATTGAACGACAAAACTGTAGTTTAAAGTTGATTTAGAGAATTCGTGACATTTAGAAAATGTGATAAATATTGGGGAAAAGTTACTTCTTATATTCTGTGTGCTTGTGAAACTTAAAAAAATCGAGGTTTTTAAATCAATTCCATCTTATCTAATTAAATCTTCGTTTTCCTTTGATTCAACTTAACTCGATGATACAATAGTTTTTGAAAACAATATTGAATTCTTGTAATTCAATATCTCGATTATTAATAATTTGATTAGCGTTCTTAACGTAGATTTTAGTATTATGCGCCATTTAAAATGTTCATTTATTTAATTATCGATTGTTTGTATCGTCTCTTTTCAACTGTTTTCTATCACAGCATTTTAGAGTGTTCGGCACACAGCAATAGCGAAAAAGTTCTTTCACTTTATTTGTATTAAATCGAAATATTCTGATAATTACTAAATAGTGCATAATACTAAAATCTACATTGACAACGCTAATCGAATAAGAAAATGATAAACTAATAAAATAAGGAAAGTAATTGCGAAATCAATTATCAAACTATTTTTATTTGAATAAAGCGAAAGAGCTTTTCTACTATTGCTATGTGTCGAATACCAGTCTAAAGTGTTAGAACAAACTAAATAAATAATTAAAGGCAAGGAACTTAATACAAAAAGTTATGTTTGCATTTCTTAATTGAACTCCAAGCTGAAATCTAGTAGTTCTGTTTCAAGCATGAAAAACAGCATAAAGCTAGTGTTACAAGAATTCAATATTTTCACAAACTATAATTAATGTATTATCGATTTGAATTATACCAAGGATAAACGAAGATCAGATTAGATGGAATCGAAAAACCTGCCAATCCTTTAAGTTTCACAAGCACGCAGAATGTAAGAAGTAGCTCCTTCCCAATATTTATCACATTTTCTAAATTCTCTAAGTCAACTTTAAACTACGTTTCATCGTTCAATTTTTTATAAGCAACATTATTGCTTATATACTTGGGCAAAATAAAATGTACTGATTAATACAGAGCTCGATTGTGATAAAGGGATAAAATACCGCTTTGACATTTTATGCACTATATATACAAATAGTTTTTGAGAAAGTAGTTTTGCTGAAAATTCATCATGAAATGAAACAGACTGTAACTGTGTATGATATGTAAATCTGTGATGTAAGAGTGCCTTATTTTCAACACTTAATTGCTTGGATAACGGTTCAGTTATCCAAGTGGGTTTCCATCGAGTGAAATAAAATAGCACAGTGATTGAAGTGATTTGGTCCAAAAAATGGCCTTATTGACATCCTTTCTTTGAAAAGTAATGATTTAAGATAATTAAAGAGTGTAGAATTCAAAAATATCGAGCGTTTTATGATCACTTTTGCGGTTTATTGTAAAATTTGTTCCAAAGTTCGAAAGGACTCGTATCAAAATCGGACCTACAGTTCAATAGATAACTTATAAATCTCTCTCTAACTTATAAATCGGCTGATCAGATCTGGTCCAAGGAATTAAATCAGTAAAATATTATGAGTCAACAGATTCAGATTGATTGAGTTTTATTGATTTCAATTCTAATAAAAATATTGTCAATTCTAATAAAAATTGTCAGTAATTTTTTTTTCTGAATTTTTACAATTTTTATCTTTGACTGTCAAATTGCTCGTTTTTACTCAATATTAACAAAATACATTAAAATACTAACAAAAATTACTAACAAAAATACATTAAAATAGTTTAAAATTATATCTAAAAGTCCATAAAAATAGGAGTGTCCGATTTCGACCAATCAATAATTCCAAATCGGATCGGAAAAAGTGTTTTTACGTTTTTCATTATATAATAGTTCAACACAGGTGAAAGATACGTCAAATGGTTTAAAGCAGAAATGAAGGGAATTAAATGATCTTTCCAATGACATTTTCGATTTTACGATCGGACTTTATTTACGATTTATAGAGAGCAAAAACTGCAAACAGGTCCGACTTATTCCACACTCTCTCCTATCATGCAATAAATAACATTCCTCAAACAGAATAGAAGCAAACACGAGAAAAATCGAAACATTATTTTCTCGAAACGAGGCCGAACAAAAGAAATAATTGCTCACCAGTTATCGAGTTTAAGGTCGAGCTTCTCTGTTTGGGCTCATCAAATTCTAAATTCAATGGTGTCACGTCTTGACCCGCCTTGTCCGTGCTAAATTCTAAGATACCATGACCGCTACCTTTATCGCTTAACAGACAGAAAAGTAGCTGATCAATTAATCTGTCATTTTTGGCAGTAGCGTGTTAATCTATGAGTTTTTGGGATTTAAGAGTGATTCTAAGACACCGACACGTCGTTCCCACGGAACGCCACAATTAAAAAAAAAGAAGTTATTTAAATTAGCGCATATTTGTAATTTTGCAATTT